ATCACTGCTTTCCATCGCAGGCAAGATCCTTGCACGAGTGTTGCTGAACCGCCTCATTGACCACCTGGAACAGGATTTTTTACCCGAGACACAGTGCGGTTTCCGCAAAGACCGTGGCACTGTGGACATTATCTTCCCAGCCCGACAACTCCAAGGGAAGTGTCAAGAGCAGAACCATGAATTGTACACCACCTTCGTGGATCTCACCAAAGCTTTTGACACTGTCAGTCGCGAAGGTCTGTGGCACATCATATCGAAGTTTGGATGCCCTGACAAATTCATCCTAATGGTACTTCAGTTTCACGATGGCATGATAGCTCAAGTTTTGGATGATGGAGAAGCTTCGGAGGCCTTTCCCATTACAAACGGCGTCAAGCAAGGTTGCGTGCTGGCTCCGACCCTGTTCAGCATAATGTCTTCAGCCATGCTGTCAGACGCCTTCCAGAACAATTCCTTGTGAGTTAGCCTGAGATACAGGACAGATGGAAAACTGTTCAACCTGAGAAGATCTCCAGGCTTTCACCAAGGTAAAGGAGACTGCTATGAGACCTCCTTTTTGCTGATGACTATGCCCTGAATGCTGGATCAGAGCAAGAAATTCAAGCCAGTGTGGACAAATTTGCAGCAGCATACGACAACTTCGGCCTCCTCATCAACACAAGGAAGACCAAAGTGATGCATCAGCCAGCTCAGAAAGCCCAACACCAGGAGTCTACCATCACAGTGAAGGGACAAAAGCTGCAAGCAGTGGACCAATTTACATACCTTGGCAGCACCCTCTCCCGCGCAGTGACAATTGACATTGAGGTCACCTGCAGAATCACCAAGGCAAGCTCTGCATTTGGCAGACTACTGACCAAGGTGTGGGACCACCGTGAAATAAGCCTTGCCACAACGTCTACCGTGCAGTAGTGCTAACTACCCTGATGTATGCCAGCGAGACTTGGACTTTATACAGGAGGCATGCTAGGCAATTGAGCCACTTCCACATGATCTGCCTCCGCAGACTTCTGAGGATCTGTTGGCAGGACAAGATGCCAGACACAGAAGTCCTCTCCAGAGCAGACCTCTCATCAGTTCACACCCTGCTGATGAAAGCCCAGACACACTGGGCAGGTCATGTTGCAAGGATGCCAGACCATCGCATCCCTAAACAGCTCCTCTATGGTGAGCTGTCTCAAGGAAAGCGATCACAAGGGGGACAAAGGAAGCGAATCAAAGGCACATTGAAAGCCTCCTTCAAGTCCCTGGATATTGACATCACCTCCTGAGAAACCCTGGCACAAGATCGATCAACATGGCGCACGTTGATCCACCAAGGCTGCCAGACATTTGAAGAGAGAACAACCATAGCACAAGAGAAGAGAGCACTCTGCAAAGCCAGAGCTGCAAATGCTACAACAGTGGTGCCCACATATGTGTACCCGACATGTGGCAGAACATTTCTTGCCCGTATAGGCCTTACCAGCCACCTACAGACACATCGTGGACAGCCCATTACCCGTTAGATGTCAAGGTCCTCTTCGAACACAGTGGAAGAACATCATTATCTTCACGACCTCCTGGATGAGTCCTCGTTGTGTTCCTGGTGTAATTTTGGTAGGCCCGCCACTCCTGGAAAGGTTCCCCACTGTTCCAAGTTTTTCTCCATTTGTGGATAATGGCTCTCACCATGGTTCGCTGGAGTCCCAAAGGCTTAAAAATGGCTTTGTAACCCTTTCCAAAATTATTTGAATACTTTGTTTCTCGTCTCTTTTCCTTTAGATCACGGCATGTTTTGCTTTTTGAGATTTCCAAGCGTGTTTCACTTTGTCAGACAGCTTCTATTTAAGCAATTTCTTGATTCAACATGTCTGGCGGTAAAAAGTCCTAGGCGTGGCAAGTAAAATTTCACTCAGCTTTCCAAAAAATGTGGTTAATCGCAATTCATTTATGATTTTGCAAGGGGGGCAATTACTTTTTCACAAAAGGCCAGGCAGGTTTGGAACGCTTTTTTTCCCTATCAAATGAAATGATCATTTAAAAACTACGTTTTGTATTAACTCGAGTTATCTTTGTGTAATATTAAAATTTGTTTGATGATCTGAATCATTAAGCGTGACAAATAGGCAGAAAATAGAAAATATCAGGAATGGGGCAAATACTTTTTCACAGCACTGTATTAAGCTATATAAATAAAGTGTACATATTTAGGATGATGAAATAAAAAAACAGAACAATCATCTAAAGGGTCCATAATCATTTATTGCTGATAAAATTGAGACTACAAGAAGATAAAAGGTACCAACGGGTTTCAAGGGGCAAACAATCTCCCTTCATAAAGGCTTGGAAAAGCAAAAAAATAGCTTCACTAGTCACAAATAATTTAAGCTTTGGACTAGTGATGCCACTTCTTTTGATGTAGAACATGTTCAGGCCCATCTTTATATAGATTCCTATAGGAAAATATTTTTTTGTTCAAGCCCTGATGAAAGAAGAATTTTTTCTCCTCTCGCAGGGGTTCTGTTGATGAAATCTCTGTACTGAGTTTCCTCTTCTTGCTGCATTTTAGTTTTTTATATAGTGTACCACCCCCTGGTGTGCTACTAGAATAGTGTAGTGTATTGCAGGCAAAATCATTGTGCATCACTCATAGTAACTGTGTGAGCCTGGATTCAGGTCGGATTACTACAGGTCATGACTTAACAGGTTGTGGCTCTATCGCCTCCTCCTGACTCTGGAGGACCATAGAACCTTCCAAAAGTCAGTAAGCAGGAAGGGGTGGAGATCTAATCAGCATGTTTATGGGAGTCTGGCCAATCCCAGGTGTAGAGGCCCTGGTAGAGTGGTGGGCTAGCCCATAAATATTGAAGAGTCAGGCTGACAGGGGAATCGGGTAAAAGATGGAATACTGAGGAGACTGTCGGTGCCTGGGAGGGGTTCCCTAGATCTGGGGGGTCGGTCTGCAGGTTTGGCTCCGGCTGGCTCAGGAGGATAAATTCAGCAGTGCAGCATGAATGGGAATCAAGCCCTGCAGCAGTGAGAGCAAAGAGGACAGAGTGAGTAAAAATACCTGTTGCCTGGCTGTGAAGAGCTTAGGGGTACCCACAACATAGCAGCCCTTACGAGGGCAGCGCTACAATAGTATGGAGAACGTAGCAAGAGAATCTAAAGTACACAAAAGAGGGTGGGGACAATCAAAATTCCAAGGAGGAAACTAGGCCACCATGCTCAACCTTCTTTTTTTGCTGCACTTAATGAAAAGCTACAATTAAATTCTTTCAATGTTTTTCAACCATTTTAATAATTTAGGAGATTGAAATGTTTTTCAATAATTTTGAGTATTTTTCAATAGTTTTAATAATTTAAGAAAAAAAAGTTTTAAATAATTTTCAGTGTTTTTTTCACTAGTTTCAATATTTTAAGAGATTAAACTGTTTTTTCAGTCATTTTCAATGTTTTCAATAAATTCAATAATTTAAGAAAAAAAAATGGTTTTAATAATTGTCAGTGTTTTTTTAATAATTTCAATATTTTAAGAGATTAAACATTTTTTTTCAATACATTTCAATGTTTTTCAATAATTTAAGAGAAGAAATCGTTTTTAATAATTTTCAGTGACTTTCAATTAATTAAAATGTTTTTTTTTTCAATCATTTTCAAAGTGTATCAATAATTTCAATAATTTTCCAAAATAAATGCTTTTCATAATTTTCAGCGTTTTTCAATAATTTCAATAAATTAAGAGAAAAAAAAGTTTATTAACTTTCATTGTTTTTCAATAATTTCAAAGAAAAATGTTTTTAATAACAGTCAGTGTTTTTTTAATAATTTAAGAGATTAAAATGTTTTAACTGTTTTTCAATAATTTTCAATAAGAGAGGGAGCAAATAAGAGAATTGTTAGGGTTTACATACACTTAAAGCGGCTTCAGATATTTTTTTTACCAGGCTATTATCATCTTTTTACTCCTCATTTTGCCTTTATAGCCATCGTGAAACTGTTCCGACATGATCCAGCTAACGATAGGAAGGCCTGCTTGATCATGCTAACAATTAAAGCTTTATCAATCTTGCCAAAAAGAGGTCCTATTTTTCCATTGACAAGCTCTGTACAACATGGGAGAGTGAAGGTATCCCTCTGGGAATGTCCTAACAATTCAATCAATTCTCCTCAATTACTAACAAATCTAAATGTGATTTATCTGCTCAAGAATCATTCCAATATCAGGGAAAGACTTATCAATAAAACCCCCAAAGGTAATTTTTTTCTCCGAGCTGTCAATAGAACCTTTGAAGCACAGAGAGAAAGAGCTGCAGTCTAAGATATTTTGACTTTTTTTTTTTTTTGTGGCACTTAATTAAGTCGACAAGAAGCTGTCAAGGATCATTTTCAAAGCAAGCGACCGCAAGGGTTGACATTTGATAATATTACACTCCATGTTGATTGAAATTGATTTTTTTTTTCGAGGCCAAAAAAAAAGAGGGGTATTTGACAACTTTCTGCCTATGGAGCCAAGGACAAGGGCTGGTTTGTGGAGAGGCTTGTGACAAACAGAATGATGGGTTTTTTAAAACCAGCTGAGTTTAACAATTATAGGGCAAGGGTCTGTTATTTCAGTGTCAAGACACGAGCAATAGGAATGACAAGTATCTCTGCAGGAATGGAGATAATAAGATGATTCCACCTGATACAGAGTCACAGAGCTGATTTTGTCTTAAATTAATGAAAACGTTATTTATTTTCTAGCCGGATGAACATTAAACATTTTATTATGGTGATAAAAATGCATTAAAAAAAAGCTTCAAATAAATACCATTTGTTTGCAAAGTTATGGGAATTTTCAGACGACTCTTAATCCCATGTCACCAAATAATAATAATAAAAAATACAAAAGTCATAAAGGAAATTAATTGTTTGCATTGTAATCAAAATTCTAATTGCATTATAAATTGATAGGCTGTCACCTGAATGTATCATTTTTTTTCTTACTGTATTGCATCTAAATGGATTTTGAACCCCCCCCAGCCCATGCCCCTTACCCTGACTTCTCCATCAAGATCAATGACACAACCATCAGTCCCTCCCCTCATGCCAGGGTACTAGGTGTAATCCTAGACTCCCATCTGTCCTTTCAGCCCCAAATCCAATCACTGTCCAAATCTTGTAGACTTCCTCCGCAACATCTCCAAGATACACCCGTTCCTAACCTCGGAAACCACAAAGCAACTTATTCACTCCCTGGTTATCTCTCGCCTTGACTATTGTAACTCCCTCCTCATTGGCTGACCTCATCGCAGGCTATCCCCTCTTCAGTCTATCATGAATGCTGCTTCCAGACTTATCCACCTTACTAACCATTCCATATCTGCCACCCCTCTCTGCCAATCCCTCCATTGGCTTCCACTCAGTGTCCTCCACCCCTCTCTGCCAATCCATCCACTGGCCTCCACACAGTGTCCTCCACCCCTCTCTGCCAATCCCTCTACTGGCCTCCACTCAGTGTCCTCCACCCCTCTCTGCCAATCCCTCTACTGGCCTCCACTGTGTCCTCCACCCCTCTCTGCCAATTCCTCTACTGGCCTCCTCTCAGTGTCCTCCACCCCTCTCTGCCAATCCCTCCACTGGCTTCTCATTGCCCAATGGATAAAATTCAAAACATTAACAATCACATATAAAGCCATTTATAACTATGCCCCCAATTACATCACCAATCTTGTCTCCAAATATCACCCAAACCATACTCTCCGCTCCTCGCACGACCTCCTGCTCTCTAGCTCCTTTGTCTCCTCCTCCAATGCTCATCTCCAGGACTTCTCCAGAGCCTCCTCCATCCTCTGGAACTTTCTTCCCCAATTTATCAGACTATCTTTTCAGCGAAGCCTATCCTAATAATGGAATCTTCTATTCCTCCTACCAGTCCATCCCCCACAGTTACTACCTTTTGTACCATACCACCAGCCCCTCCCTCTTAGATTGTAAGCTCCAAGGAGCAGGGCCCTCCTATCCCTCTTGTATTGAACAGTTTTGTTACTGTATTGTCTCCCGCTGTATTGTAAAGCACTGAGCAAACTGTTGGCACTATATAAATCCTGTATAATAATAATAATAATTTTGTCATTCTTTATTTCATGTGAATTAAAAAAAAAAATTGAACATCACAAGTAGATAAAGCTGCATGTGTCTGATGCCAGAGGTTTGCTTAGAATCAACAGAGGACAAAGTGGTTTCCACTTCTCCAATGACATTCTTAGTATGGTATTTTTTAGACATGTAGGCAGGTGCAGTCCCAATTCTCCCCTGTAGGTGGCACTCGGCCAGAACGGTACTACAACCGGAGAGGAAGTCAAGCAAAACTTGGTTTCTCTATGGTTTCCTTGGTCACCTGAGGCAGTGTTCTGGTTGGCTACATTAAATATATGTGTCCCTGGCAGCCATTTTGGGTTAGCAGAGCCATTTTAAGTGCCTGCCCACATTTTTTGTCGTGCTTTTTGCGAGTGGCTAGCTTAGTGAGAGAGCACCCGTCTGTCAGGGAAAGTGATTAATGTCAGGGAAAGGTTCTGGAAAAGTTAGGACAGGATGAGGACATGCTATCCTGAATAAGAATCCTCCCTGTTGGGCTCAGACTGGCCAGGCCACATTCTGCCCTCGGAAACAGATGTTGGTGCATCAGAACTTGCTCTGCAGGTTTACACAGAACTGTGAGTGCTCCCGGCCTTCCCCATTGAGCTGTTTGCAATTTTGGGGCCGTTCCTTCAATACACGCTTTTTTATCTACAACTGGCAGTGTGCTTACTGCCCCCACACCACACTGCACCTACCTAGAGGTGTGGTAGTATATAGCACCATGGCTTTGGGGTAAAGGAGATGCCAATTAAAGAGACTTTACAACCAACTTTACCAACTGTTTGTCAACACCTATTGTAGTGAGCCCTTGTAGATAGTCAACTTGGGGTTCCCCAGGAGAACAAATCGAAACCAGCGCTCAAATCTTCCTGCAGACTAAAGGAGATTCTGAATGCCAAACGCTGAGGTGCAGCCCTTCAGACATCGGGAAATCTAGGTGATGGTGAACAAAAACAAACAAGGGGCGCACTCCCATCATGCATTAACCACTTGCCCTCCTGAGGATTTACCCCCCTTAATGACCACGCCTCTTTTTGCTACTCGGCGCTCCACTAATTCAACTGATAATTGCGCGATCATGCAATGCTGCACCCAAACAAAATTTACGTCCTTTTTTCACACAAATAGAGCTTTCTTTCTGTGTAATTTGATCACCTGTGCGCTTTTTATTTTTCACGCTATAAACAAAAAAAGGACACAAATTTTGAAGAAAAACAATATTTTTTACTTTCAGCTATAAAAAATATATAGTAAACTCAAAGTTGGTTATAAATTTAGGCCAAAATGTATTCTGCTCCATGTTTTTGGTAAAAAAAATCCCAATAAGTGTATATTGATTGCTTTGTGTGGAAGTTATAGCGTCTACAAACTATGGTATAGATACTGCAATTTACGCCATTTTTTTTGTTATACAGCGCTGCGCTAGTTTAACGGACAATTGTGCGGTCATGCAATACGGTACATAAATGAAATTTACATCCTTTTTTTTCCCCACATATTGAGCTTTCTTTTGGTGGTATTTGATCGCCCGTGCGGTTTTTATTTTTTGCGCTATAAAAAAAAAGGCTGACAATTTTGAGGAAAAAAAACAATATTTTGGACTTTTTGCTATAAAACATGTCCAGTATAAAAAAATTTAAAAATCAAATTTAGTCATAAATTTCTGCCAAAATGCAGCCAATACAGTGATCAGTGCAAAAAAAAAAAAACCACTGACACTGTACTAATGGCACTGGGGAGGAAGGGGTTAAGTTTATTTTTCAGGGAAGGGTTATCTGTGTGAGGGGGGGGAGTGTTTTACTAGGGGGCGGGGGGTGTGTACTGCATGGGACACCGCTGATCGGGAGAGAGAAACTCTTCTGTCCCGATCAGCTTGTCCTGGAGCTGTCAGGGAACTGACAGAAAGCACAGGTACTGCAGCTGTGCTCTCTGTCAGCGATTGCCGCCGAACATCGGGACATAGCCGGTAACGACCGGCTGTGACCCGGCGACTGACATCCGTGGCTGTGATTGGCGGGACAGGTAGGGCAGCAGCGCGCCTCGCGCGCGCGCCCCCTACCTGTTTAAAAAAACACACATTTTAAAACGTGCCGTGCCGCCCTTCCGCCGTATTTATACAGTGGCTGGGCGGCATGTGGTTAACGTGGTACACCACGTATTTATTGAAAAATTATAGATAAATACTCACAAACCAAAAAGGATAAAAACAGAACAGGTGATCCGTAAGGACAGTCCAATGGATTCAAACACCTTATAAGGGATAGGCTAACACGTTTCAGGAGATGAACCCCCTTCCTCAGAGCCCCAGGGTGCGGGGTCTAAGCCCCAGCCTGCTTCTTCACCAGAGCCCCTGATGGTGGGGATGGACTTGCAGCAAGCTGAGACCAGGTCGTGGCCCCCCGGGTACGCCCAGCTGAGGATGAGGAGACTGCTTGCAGGAGCAGAGTACGATGGGAGGAGACAAATAGAAATCCGTTAGACTAGCCGAGGTCAGGACAGGCAGAAAACAAGCAAGGTCAGAGAACGAAGCCGGGGTTGGTACACAAGTAGTCAATGCAGGATACAGGAGATAGCAACACACAGGAGCTCAGACAACTAGGAAGTTGCTCAGGCAAACTGGCCTAGACTGAGCATGTCTTATATAGGCAGGAAAACAAGGAGGCGGGCCAGGAAGTGATGGAAGGGAAGGAAATAAAACCCACAGAACATCAGACGAAGCCCATAGGTGAGCACAAACAAACACACATGTGAAAGGGATCAGGAACAGCACTACAGGTAAGGATACACAAACAAGAAAGTGCAGGCTAACTTGTGACACTGTTACTAACTTCAAATGTTGCAGTTAAAAGCCTAGAAAAATCAACTATTTAAAATGTTTAATTGCAGTATTTCCCTTTCCATAAATAATTTTTTTTTTATTCACTTGCAATGTGCTTGTGTGCCTCAAAATTTTGACTACTCCAAGAAGAGTCAACTCCCCAGCACAGCCCCATCTCTCCTGGCATGTCACTACGCTCTTAGCTCTGAGAGAATGACAGCGGCGGTGGCTCCTAAGTGGCAGGACCGCGGCCATCAAGAATGCCTGGCATAAAGCTTAATGTGACAGGTAGGCTCCCATGGTATGACCCTTGCAACCCCAGATGCTACACCAGTGCCTATAGTGTGTCTAAACCCAAGAAAAATTATAGTATACTGCAGCTTTCCACTGCTTAGACCTGGTAGCTGTAGTCATTTTTTTTTTGTTCCTTTTCTTATTTTTTATTTTCACCTGGTGATCCTGCCACTAATACGCCTACTGTTACAACGATCACCCACTGCACTGTATCTATGGAGAAGTATCTTTGTCAGCCTAGCAGAGGAAGTGTGTATGGACTACAAAACACCCCCCTTCCTTTTTCATCTTCATAACAAAGGAGTGGGGGGTTCTGTAGTTCTTATAGTTCTAAGAGATCACTGGGAACATTGCTAATTGGTTAGGGTAAAGCACAGGCAGAAAGCATACTTGTGTAAAGGGGCGGACTGACCATTTTTAAACTCGGGCAGTGCCCGAGGGCCCGGGGTCAGTAGGGGGCCCCATGAGATGCCCCTGGTACCTTTTTCATAGGCTTTTTTGAGTTTGGGCAAGGACACAGGGGCCCCATGATCCCCTATTGCCCGGGGCCCCAATGAGTTGTCAGTCCGTCCCTGTTTGTGTACATTTTTTTATTGGCATTATGTGATCTGCACATAAAAGAATTAATCTAGATACATTTTCACAACAATATTGTTATAGTTCCATGGTTCCATGGCAGGTGAATTAATGAAACGGAACCAGAAACTGTTCAAACCACTCCGCCACTGCACAGGGGTTCTTTTCATCAGTGCCTCTGGAGTGACGGTATCTGGCCATAGTGCATGATCGGTTCTGGGAGACCGCTTATGGTGACTGACGTGGAGCCCGGCTCTCCATGGAGATATCTGGCTTCCTTGACCACTCTGTAATCTGAGGGTCATATCTACAGTATCTGGTCAGCTGCTTGGCCCTATCACCTGAGGTGCAGTGTGTTACATCTCCTCCCAGAATTGGTGTTGGGATCTTATCCTTTGGACGAAGATTTGGCATTTATTTTCTCTCATTTCTGCATCAGATTATAAGCGCTTTCTATTTTGTATTTGTCGATCAAACAGGTTTATGCTGGCTGCTTTATGGTGGTTCATCTAAGCGCAGTGAATATTTTATATTTTTATAATAAAACTTACCTGTAGGAAAAATGAATATCTCCCAAACGTGCTGTTTAGGAGATATTCCACAGAGCAGCAGCTGGTGACGTCTCCGGAGCATGCGCTCTGAAGGAACGGCATACCGTAACTTTTGCTGTAAACACTGACTCCCGTGTGCATGCGCAGGTTCAACGTTA